CTATGAGCCGCACCAACCACATACCATCAGGTGGACTGTGTGCTCGTTCGTCACCCTATCCTATAAAAAAATCTTTTAAATTATTGAAGATCATCATTGGCATCTCTTATTGGATTGAGAAGAAAACAAAGGATTATTGTAAAGCATACTCATCCCCTTATTTTGTCCTACATTCTAGAATAATCTTTGTATATTTTAACCAAATAATATTCAACAGCTGTCACGTAATGTCTCATTCTAAAGCATTCTTAATTATTCTTAGACCTTTCACATATTTTACTTTACATTTAAAAACATTAAAGTAAATTATTTAAAAAAGAAAATTTAACATATTTATGAAGTACAGTTTTTTTATACAGAAATTAGGCAAATGAGCTTGCGGCTCACCTGATAGTGACTACCACTGCTCATTAACAACTGCAACACCAAGAGAAATGACGGTGCGTTAGCGACCTTTTAGAAAGGAATAAGTTCTTTTCTTGAGGGTCCCTAAGTCATATAGGTTCGGAAAAATTGCAGGTGGTAAACGATTCCACAGAGGAAACGTGAAATGAAAAAATGAACAATTACATATTAAATACTTCTTGTAAATGTTAATTTATTAACATTGTATTTTAATAAGATTATTAAATTTTATATTTTTCCTTTATTCGTGAGGTTATTATAAGTAGTTAATTTTTGGTACCCAGGTGTGGGATGTATATAGGCTGTAACTTTTTTTACTTTTTTTCATACTTAATTATGACGTCATATAGTAGGCTGAAGGGTTAACTACTATTGTCAAGCATGAAAGTCATTTTTTGAGTATATTACTCAAAATATGACGTTTTACAATTATAAAAAATTACATTTTACAATATATATATATATATATGTGTGTGTGTGTGTATATGTGTGTGTGTGTGTGTTTATAGTTTATTCTATACTTTAACGAAATACAAACACTGTTTTTCTATTTTATTATAATTTGATGATGAATTCGATCAAATAGCCTACGAATGTGACAAAAACTGTTGATTAAAAAAGTAACCCCGCCCGTAAAAACTGTTTGAAATAAAGATAAAAACAAAATTTAAGGATGCTGTCCCTTCTAGCATAGCAATAGTCAACGCAGGGGTTATTATAAATCAATCAATTAATTTATAAGTCAGGCAAAGTAAAAGATCAAAAAATAAAATCCAATTTAATAAAGAAGAAATACATAAGTTACACGCTGATTTTTCATAATTTGATACGTAGTTATACGAGTTAAGCATGATAATATCATTTTTAAAACTCTAGATAAATCTAGACCTTAGGCCTAAAGGCCGCATTTCACTCAGCCTAATTTATGACGTCATTTGAAGACTTTTGATAAAATAAAAGCAAAACTTCTATTATAGTCCTTTAAATAGAAAACAGGATTTTAAATGAACAATCTTGAAAAGGTTTCAACGGTTTCAAAATCAGCATGGCTTACAATTTTTTGATATATCGAATTACATATTATCGAAATTTCATTTGCAGACAGCCCTGTAACTATACTACGAGTTTTTGTATTTATATATTATATTAAAGTCATGTGCACATCGTTATTTGTGATTCTGATGGTCGCCACACACGGTCCGTTCAACTGATCATTCCAACAGATCAGTTTAACTAAAACTTTAACTACTACTACACTAACTAAAACTGAAACTAAAACTTTTGTTTGAACTGATCGGTTGAACTGGTCAGAAATAATATTTTTTAAAATATCGAATTTTGGATGTATCGATAAGTAAACTTATATGTAAAACTCCGATATTAATATATTTATAATAACCGATTTATGGAAAATCCACTATTTTAAAAAGTATCAAGAGTTAGTTTGAACTGATCAGTTGGTATGATTAGTTGAACTGACGTAAATCCAAAAACTGATCGTGAGTATGAAATCTTAAGTTGAAATTTTTAACTGATGGCACTCCACGGAGATTTCTGGGCGCACCGTAATCCACTGGCTTCAGTTCGTTTTAATTACTAGTAAGTACCTACTTTCTTAGTAGCTACGTACTTACATTATTTCTATGCTATTTACATTTTTTATTATTTTATATATTTAAAGAATTTCGTTTGACGGAAGATGAAAACTAAGGTGACTGTGATGATATCACCTTCCTTATGATTGACTCAGAAGATGTGTAAAGGATCTCAGTGATGCTACGTAGAACCATCGTGTTTTTTTCTCAACTGATTTTCAAAAAGGTTCATGAAGACCTAGATGACTGTGATGATATCACCTTCCTTATGGTGGAATCCGAAGGTAAGCTTAGGATCTCAGTGACGGCACTACATAGAACCACTGTGTTTGGACTCATTTGAAAGGACTCATAAAGACCCAGGTAACTGTGATAATCTCACATTCCTGATGGCGGACTCAATATCTGGGTAAAGGATCTCAGTTATGCCACTACGTAGAACCATCGTTTTTAGACTCATTTAAACACCAAAATGCCTGTGATGATCTCAACTACCTGATGATGGTGGACTCTGAAGGTGAGTATAGGATCTCAGTGACGGCACTAGATAGGATGATTGTGTTTGACCTCATTTGAATGGGCTCATAAAGACCTAGGTAATAGTTACGATCTTACCTTTCTGATGGTACAATCTAAAGGTGTGTATAGGATCTCAGTGATGGCAATATTTTTATATTTTCATTATTTTTAATTTATAGGAGTCACGCAATTTTATCTGTGACACTTCTTAACTAAAAGTTAAAATTTATATCCCCCCCAAAGGTAGAGAAAGCACAAGAAAAATAAACTAAATATAGTGTACCTATATGTATTATGTAACTTAATACAATGCGAAAAATTTATTATTTTATAAAACTCAACATATTTGATTATCAAACAAATCAAATCAAATATTTTATTAATTCTAGACTTATTTATTTTATCATTTTTGCAAAATCTTATGCTGGGGCCACACTAACGAGAAATGCCGTTAATTATCGCGTTGATGGACTTTGTATGAATGTAGGTGTGGTCACGACTTAACGCGTTAATTTGACAATGGCATTAATAATGCCGTTTGCCGTTTGGCGATAACTTGAGTGGCTGTACATCAAAGAGATTAATGCGTTTAAACGGCTATACTACGTTTGTCTCATTGTGTACGATGAGCGCAACAGGATCGCACGTATGGTTACGATAGAGCGGAATAATAAAAAAGTTATTACGTTTCTTGAGATTCTGCAAACAGAGTCATGTTTGTGAGATCCGAGACTCAAAAGTTTTAAGAACCGTACATTGCAAAATGATGCTTTGCGACGAATTATCCAATTAATATCTTTTAATACAACTATCGAAGAATTAGAAAGAAGAAGGAAAGAAAGTCTAATGGGTTTTTATAGAACCATTTTTGAAAAATATAAAAAGTCTTCAAATTTTTTTATCATTAACGCCAACTTTAACGCCGTTCAATGACATTGAAATTTAATGACGTTGAACGTTCAAGTGTAGCCTTTCTCTCTTTATCGCGTTAAATTTAAAGCAATAATTACTGCGTTTATGGTCATTGACGTTTCCCGTTAGTGTAGCACCAGCATTAGCGCGTTCGCTCGATGACGCTACCATACGATGGTCGCGCGGTGGGCTAAGCATTGAAATATGAATATCGATAGTCGATATCTTTATCAATAACAAGTTTTAATTTTATTTCTCGTAAATAATTTAATCTACTACTACTTAATCTACTGTACTTCATTTTACGCTTTAAATTTTTCTCCAGTTTATTTATTTGCTTATTATCTTAAACAGAAATGTAATTTTCTATAGCATATTATCTCTACGGTGTTAAAATTACTATAATCTACAAAACTTATAACTACTTTACTGTTTGTTTTGGCGGGAACTTGACTGTCGACGTATTTTTGCGTCTGTTTTATCGTTTAAATAATGGTTTCAATTAGATTTTGATACGTAAAACTAATTTTGTATTAAGTGATGCGCTTGTGAATTAATAGAGAAAACGACGAAACAAGTGCTTCGATGTTAATATAAACCTCAAGTTATTTTGATTGGTTATACGTCTTATGAACTAGAATTACTGTCATCATCGACTGTCCAGACAGATCAGAAATAACTGTTAAATATGTTATTTCTTCAGCTACATCTGTAGCATCTGCGCTTCTAAACATATTCCATAGCTGACATATAAAACGACGAGTATTATTGGAAACTTACTGTAAAATATTGGTACACATAATCGTCTTATTTAAATTAAACAATAATCAATAGGAACCACAATATAACATTTCCATATATTTATAATTTAATTTACTTTACAAATATAATAAATGAACTAAACTAAATGACTTACGATTTTTTTTAAATAAAGCTGATATATCGATATTTTTTTCGATATATAAAACTTCAGTATTGACCTACTGTATACTAAATTACGATATAGAAAACTCCAATATTGATTGATATTTAGAATTGTCGACATATCAAAAATATGATATTTTAAAAAATATTATAGCCCTAGTTTGAACTGCTCGGTTAGAATGATCAGTTGAACTGACCGTGTGTGTGGAAATTTCTTTGGCTTAAATCTGTTCGAACTGACATCAGTTCAACTGATGACTTTAACTGACCATGTGTGGGGTCCATAAGAGATTTAAGAAAAATAAAATAATGATTTAGAATGTATAGTTTATTATATATTTACAAAAGCTTAGCAAATTCATTGTACAGAAAAATCACATGAACAAACCAATAGGAAACTAAAGATATCTACTAATAATATTTGGTGAAGTAATGTATAGAACATTCTTATGTTTAGAATCGAGTTACAATCAACAGCACAACCGCAACCAACTTCAAGCCTGTATTTATATTTTGTTGTAACATCTTAGTTCCCATTGGTTTTAAATAATTTAATCACCAACGTCCGCATCATTCAGATAAACATACTTTACAAAAAAATGAACACAATGTTAAAATTAACAGAACGTAAAGCGATTTTTGCGCTTAATGATGTCCGTAGTATCCGAGACCGCCGTAACCGCCGAGACCGTGTCCGCCATATCCGTATCCGCTGTAGATGGGCGAGCTGTAGTAACCACCATGGCCGGAGTAACCACTGGAGTAACCGCCTGAAGAAAAATATATTGTATGTTGTAAAATTTAATGCATCTTTATATATACTTTTGTATATCATATATTTATTGACGGCCCCGTGGCGCAGTGGCCTAGCAATGAGTTGCTGCGCTGAGGGGGCGAGCTCGAATTCCACACGGCACAAGTGTTTTTATGGCCTACAAATAATTTTTCCGGATGTGGATAATTATCTTTGTGAATTTTATATATGTAAACTGTGAATTTTATATATGTAAACTCCTCTCCCAAGTGTGAAAGAGACACTCAAACACGATACAGGAGAAAATCCTAGCGTGGAGTAGGTAGGTAGGTACGTTATTTTAAAAAAATTCTTAAATTATAAGATTCTAAAATAAAAAATATACTTAAATTATAAGATTCTAAAAGAAAAGAGCATCTAACTTTGTAAAGACGATTTGCCATAATCGACACACTTGGCATACAAATAGTCGGTCGCAATACCAGATGTCTATCACCTTTGAAGTTGCTCTTTATCGTCGGACTAGAGAATTTACACATGGATTATACTAAATGGTGACATCACTACCTGTCGGAGGCCACAAGATATTTCTAACATATCCCATTACCACCTCTTACGACAACAACGTGACGAAATTGGGTGGTACATTAATTATAAGATTAATAGCGCTAAAAATTACGGTTTAGTCTCCTCCAAAACGCCGACTTCAGCAAAGTACGTAATAATTACTACAGCATAATAAAAATACAATGAAACAATTAAGTTCCGGTAACTTGTTATAAAGTCTCTTTGGATGTAAACATCAATTCTCTATCATTATAATTTATCCAATGCCAACGAGGCATGTTATTAAAGAAACAATACTTTGTCTTTTTCCCATTCTCACGTAACTCACCAAGGCCAGAGTATCCGTGACCAGAGTATCCACCAAGACCAGAGTATCCGAGACCAGAGTATCCACCGAGACCAGAATATCCGCCGAGACCGGAGTAACCACCATATCCGCCATGAGTGGTGTACACTTTGCTGACGGCTACTGGTGCAACTGTAGTGAAAATATTCCTTTTTAAATAAATTGAAATTTTATAACTTCATATCTTTATATTTATAATATGCTTTTAAATAAAATACACATAACAGCAAACAAAAAGGCATTCACAAGTCTTTAGAATAACGTTAGCAACGGATGTGTTGAACACGGCGTCAGGGTCACGGGGAAAATTATTTATTACTTTATAATGTACAAGTAACACACGAACAAAGATTTGATTACAGTAGAACCTTAAGTGCGAGTAAGTTGTTATGAGCGGGAAGATTATTTTGTACATAACATGGGATAATAAGGATTTAGATAACAATCAAATATAAGCTATTACAGAAATATTAATCCCGACTTGTATGTGAATCTCGAACCAGTTAATTTGTAGTTGTTAAAAAGTTCTAAGCTATACGTCAGATATACAATTAAATATTTTAGACCCAATTTGTTAGTTACGACCTGGTAATACGCTCGGGATGTGGCTGGTAACGGGTGGTTCAAGACCATGTTTTGTAACAGTGTTTGAGTGAAGCCTTAGTTCAGTAGAATTGAGATAGGCTAATGTCGATGTTATTTGTTTTTAACATTGGTTGTCACATTCGGGCTCTGTGCCCGACCTGAAATTGTAATATTGGGAATATTCGATCGATATTGACTGAATTGTCAGACGATTTTAAGCCAAGTTCAAACAAAGTCATTGTGTCGTTGACAATGAAAGGTGGCACAACAAAAAATCGAGTAAGTTACAACGATGTTACTTTTTATTTCAGCCATTACAGGTTTTTGATCTCGAAACAAGTCATCTGTGACTATTTATTTTAACTGAATGTACGGCTGAGTTCGCATTCTAATGTTTGTATCATGATAAAGAAAAAGGCGTGACAAATTTTACGAGTAGTTTCAATGTCCAATGTGAAGGTCAAACAATAAAATTAAAAATAAATTGATTTTTTAAGACTGCGGTCGCCACAATACTTTTTGTCATACAAAGTTACAACTCGTTAAAATTACGTACACCTTATTATTTTGAAAATATTCGAATGAGAAATGATACTTTTACAAGATAGTATGAGGCAACGAACATTCATATTTGATTCCAAGCAAAGAGGGCAACTTGACCTTACTTCATCAAAACTAAAGTAGGATTTATTGCAGCCCATAATTATACTCTCTTATCCTTTTATTCGGAAAAGCTAAGATTATGGTATCTACTCAGACTCTATCTGTAGCTCACTCTTGCAGTAAAATAATTGTAAGAATTGGAAAAATATTTTTTTAATTAAAATTGAATCACTATGCGTTAGGTCGTTAATATTCGCCTACTTACAACAGATAAAACAAAAAAATGAAGCAGAAAAATTTAATTGCCAGTCACAAAAAATAATATTTAAATTTATTTTATGAGACCAAATAAAATGATACACATATACACATTTAAAAACTTTGTAGTGTAAACTGATGTAAATAAATATATGTGTGCAGTTCACATGCGATAGAAGTAACCTTCAGAAAACTGAACTACGAGAGAATGAGACGAATGCAGAGAATTAGGAGTAGGATAATTGTAATGTTAATGTACTTGAAATATAAAATTTATAATTCTCTCACTAGCTTAATCTTTATGTATGTTTGTCCCTTTTTAGTGATTCTAAAGAAGTTTTCAATTCATATATTTCGTTTCATATATGCCATTGCTATTTAATTATTTTGTTTTAATTTAATGTTCTTTTTATTGTTATTTTTCCTTACACGAATATTACAATACTAACCTACATGCAGCCATCTTGTTCTTATGTGCTTGTTCTTATTTGCAATGAGCCATATTGACAATTTCTTTCCTTTACTTGTTTCAAATACAAATGTTGTTAAAGTATCGAAGCCTTTATACCACATTATCCCGTGGGTTACATAGAGGAAGACAAAGGAAAATTAAACAGAAGCATCTTCTTGATATCACTCTAAAATAATGCAAAGTGCTTGGCAACTTTGGCCAAAATCCCCCTCAGTTTTAGTAGGATGTAATGAGCCTATATATCACTCTGAAATTTTGTTTTAACCAAAATATTGGAACAAACAATTAATTGAAATCGAGATTTTGGAAGCGTCGTAAAGTTACTTTGAAAATGAAACAGATTTCTCAATCTTTAGTCTTTTGATGTTGATGAATTTGTCTTTTCAATTTAGCTTTTCCTTTAGAAGAGTATAAATAGAACCCACGCGGTTACGACGCCTTTATATTAATGTTTGATTAAAATATTGGTAGACTATCATTGAATGTAATAATTAATTGATTTAAATTTTCTTCGGTCTTGTATTCAACTTGAAACACCGCTAAATATATGACTCCGGGCTCTTACTGAGAACCTTTTGTCAGAAAACCTCAATAACTGATTTTTAGCACGACCCCGCAATTCACAATCAGTGGTTATGTTAACTTGCTATGGCGGTTTAAAAAAATGTAAACAGCTAAAGTGTGACATAAACTTTCCTCAACTATTAACGGGCTTCCACGACTTTTTACTCACTTATCTGTCTCAATGCATGATTATCAGAGCCTATAAAAGTTCTCTGCTGTACATATGTCTATCCCATAGATTTCCTTGCAGTTTTTTTTTAATTAAAATAGAACTGTGTAGTGTCGGATAAGTAAATCCACTACATCATACCATTCCGAGGGTGTCGTAAGAGGACAAAGGCAAACTGAAGCAGGAGATAGAAAGCGAAATATTTCTGATAATAATGGCATTCGTTGGTCTACAAACATGTGGTAGTTTTGTTGCTATTAGAATGTTCATAATACCTATTAAATTATTTCTTATCGACTTATAATGGCATACTCTCGATCGACGCAGTATTCAAAAGGACGTACGTAGACACTGTAATGTGCATTATGAGTGTTTCCGTGCCAAGGATCACGATTTCCCACGATTCCTAACATTGTGTACACAAATTACAAGTTAGGAAGGGGGAGGGGGGTACGTGATGTACAGGTTAATTAAAAACAAAGGAATTTCGTGAGCCACTTGTAATGTACATGAAATGTAATGATTTAAAGTCTTACATTTAATGACACTAATTTTACGGATTTACTATAGCATCGGGACGTCAAATACCTCAGTCCCTGTCGTGCCCATGGGTGTTGTTAAGCACCCGAAACATCGGGAAATAAAAAGTTAAATTATTAGCGTATAAACGCCCAATTGCTGGGCACTGGAGTCATTTTTAAACATGTGGTTGAGTTCGGATTTTAATAGCATAGTTTCGCTTACAATGTTTTCCTTTATTGTCATAACCACATTAAATAGATACCATCTAACTGGGTTTCCACAAGGCAACAATTTTTATGATTTCTTTGTTACTCTGGTAGCCAACAAATGGTGGTAAATGCTGTACCAAAACCTCTACAAACTGGCGATGAAAAGCTTCAGCACCATCTTAACCATCTAACCTAGTACCTTTTAAATGGCTCATTAAAAAACAAAATAGGTAGCGTAACGTTCTGACTAATCGATTGGCAGCGACGCTACAGCCGCAGGTTTGACTCTCTTACGGACTTCGATCAACAATACATTGTTGATCGAAGCTTACGGAACAAATGTTTTAATAGCCCACAAATAATTTTTCCGGGGTTGGATTTCATTTCCAAGTTATATATTATGTAAGGCGCTTCCAACATACCGGAGAAAATCTTAGATGAGGAACAACGTTCCTTTAATAAAAAAAATAACATTTATTTAATTTAAGTTTGGTTTGAATCTCAATTTCTTAAAAGAAAAACTTCGTATTTATTCAAGCAATTTACATTCAAAATACAAGGATGAGAATTGATTTGTAAACTAAAAGAATAAAACATTTCTACGATGCCGATTGCTACTGAGGGACGCTGAGAGAGTATCCTTCAAAACATCCAAGAGAATCGACAATGACTCAAAGGAACGAACTTGGCGCGTATTTTATACGGAACTATTATGAGAGAGGAATCAGCGATGAATACAAACCAGTTGAGTTGGACGTGAGCGCGGCGTTGCAAGCTTTTGGTCAATTTAAACTTGGAAGTTGTGTTTCTCTATCTTTTTGAAAGGAGTTTTTATTCCTTTGTTTATATTATTTGATAACTTTTACGTGTATCTAATTCATAGCACATAGGCCTACCCCACTATGCCAAAATCGTTGTCAGGAAAATGCTGCTTTCGTATCCTTTATTAGTTACTCTCTGTTGCCTCTTACGACACGCACGGGACGATATGGTGTAGTAGATATTCTCACACCGCTGCTATACGGTTAAGTAGCCAATGCGACTATAGATTTTAAAGTGAAGTGACAGTAGTCAGATGGCAGGGTGCGGACCGCGAACTCAAAAGGTCGTGGGTTCGAATCGTCGTGAACCATTACCAACACAAGCATTTTAAGATTACCAGCAGTGGTTAAAAGGAGCATAAGCATTGCTAGTTTAAAAAAATAAGGTTGTAAGTAGGTTAATTTGCCTCACCATAGCTACCGTGTCCGATTCCATAGCCGGAGCCATATCCCAGACCGTGGCCACCGTAGCCGAGACCACTGTAGCCGAGACCGCCATAGCCAAGACCGCCATAGCCGAGACTGGAGATACCACGCTTTTCGGTCTTCTTCACATCCTCATCAGCGCACACGGCGGCGACGGCGAGAGCAACAACAATCTAGGAAAAAGAATTAAATTCATAAAATGTTCAGATTTAATTTTATATACATTTTTAATCATAGAATAAGGGTGACAAACGAGCACACCATCAACCTGATGGTAAGTGGATGTTGCGGCCTATAGATATCTACATCTATCCTCAATTAAGAACCAAAATAAAGATTAATTTTCATCACTGACGACTAAGATGGAATGTCTCAATCCTAATAAAAGGAGTATCCGGTTCTCTACACTCGCTGCACGAAATTCACAACAAAACTATGTAAAAAGAATTATTATCGTACAAATGATACGATATACCAAACGATATACCAAGGCTTAATTTATTTATATTCCGAAATATTAAAAATGTTCATAATTACAACAATAGATTTATAAAATTAGTCTTGCCTGGTGATCGAACACATAACAGTTAAAGCGACCGTACCCTAATGGTAGAGTGCGGAACGTGAACTCTAAAGTCGTGGGTTCGAATCCGCCATTACACTTATCGTGAACCACACAAGCATCTTAAACTTACCTAGAACGGTTAAATAGAATATTAATAATGTTAAGAGGATAACTAACACGTAAAAAAACACATGATTTAGTAGAACACTAAGACCCCATTAATGGTTCATTTACGTATTGAATGTCTGATGGGTAAAGTTATGTAATGGGTTGTTTCACATGGCCTTGTAACAGTTGAAGTACTCATTATAAGTCCACTTCCACGCCCTAGAACATACATAGTCGGCGACTGTGTCGCGTACCAGCTTAATTGTTTAGACCTACTAATTGAACAATTGTAACTTGAGCAATGCAAACTTAAACATGAAGCAATTTTATTTCCTCCGATAAACAAAAGACTCTATTTGGGTGGTACAATTTGAAATAGCTTCATTATTTCATTGTTTGGATCAGGTTAATTGATTTAGTGAAAATCCTGTTTATTTCGGCGCTTCCAAACATAATAATAATGTTGAAATAAACGATTTTAAAAATTAATATGTATTTTTACAAAGAAATAAAAGTTTTGCAACTCCTTAAATCATCTTTACGAACAGCTCAAAAATAGTCTACAAATGAAAAACGTTTGACGAAATTAGTTCGTAAACACCGTCTCCTTTTTCAGTTGTTTTGTTGCTTTGTTTAAAAAAACACAAACGTCAATAAATACCTACACCATTTCCTATTTTTAGAGGTCTCAGAACTTAGTATTTAATTAAAGATTAAATTTGATTCTTATTATTTTAAAAATAAAACAAGACTGAATAATAAGATGTTTATTTGGTTTAATTTAAGGAAATATGTCGTAATATACTGCTGTTTGCATATATTTCCCTTGTACTTTTATAAAAAGTACTTAGATACCGTTTTCAGAGAAATAACAGGAATAAAATAACAAACACAGGAGGTATACGTTAACACCCCCGAGTGCTAAGATGACCTTAAAGAATATAGGGTCTCGTATTCCTCGGAAAGGTAGTAGGTAGGTAGGGTAGACGTAGTCCAAAGAGCAGGAAGTCTGTCGGACCACGTGTAGCCAAAAATAGAGTTTATTCATTGAAATAAAGTACTACGTATTAGAACAGACAAAGTGACGAAATTTGTGCGGCAGTGCGAGGCACGTCGACAGAGGCGCAGGGTATCTTTTTTATAGCACAGACTTATGTAGTTTGATCCCGTGAGCTATAACTTGTGTTCCAAAATACTAAGTCTTGGCGTCTTCTTTAGTACATAGTACAAACGACTTCAATAGAGAAAGACGAGAAAGAATAGAGATCCCATCGCCTAAACATTCACAAACCCAATACTCCATTAATCGCCTTTAACACAGCACATCCTTTTTTTTTTTGAATAAGGGTGACAAACGCGCAAATATAAATAAACCGATAATAAGTGGACGATGCGTCCCATGGGCTTCTACATCAATTCGCGATTATGAATCAAAATGTAGATGCTCTGTCGCCCTGGAAGTCCTGGAAACGAGGCGTTCCAACTTAGTCCAAGTTGGAATGTCTCGTTTCCAGTGAAATTGGTCTCCGGTACTCTTCACTCACCATATAAAGCACAGCAGCTTTAAGCTGCCTTCTCACGCTGGTATTCAGAGAGAGCATGCTCTTTTTCCCGTCGAGCTGATCTGTTCGTGCTACAACTATAATAAAGCTGCAGCATGGCTTTACGACGTAAAAAGTTTTCTTTTGTCAAAGTCCGATAACGTAGGACGTATAAGTCCTAGACTAATATACCTCAAACCTGTAATAATTCTGGCTCCATTTGTAAAAATGTTTCGGCTTGGTAAAATATCCGTTAAAACGGGCATTACAAAAAGCAATAATTAAGTAACGTTAAATATGTGTATTATCTTCAATCTAGACTGAGACACGCAATTTCCTACCGGGCTAAGTTTCTTATTAAGTAAATTTTATGTAACTTTCAACCGTCTGGTTTGACGGATGCTGTGCTGGCATTGAATTCGTGTTAGGAAAGAAATTAAAATTATGAAACAAACTGATAATATCGTTGGTGATTATTTAAGTGTGTAAGACCGGAGTGTGTTATTATACCCGATTCGTTTGGTGAAAATTAACAAAATTGGTGAATTAATATTGAAAATAGAAAATAAGCAGTTTAATGCTGCTGTGTTTCGTATGGTGAGTATAGAGAACGAGAAGTGGAGTAACAGTGCATCTACATTTTGTTTCTTAATCGAGAATAGATGTAGAGTCTATGCGCCACAGCATTCACTTATCATCAGGTGGACTGTGTGCTCGTTTTTCACCTTTATACTATAAAAAAAGATATTATCAAATATCCATGCTAGCATATCATGGATATTTGTCATGGTTGCTACGTTTGACAGACGGGTTTGATAATTGTAGATTTTTTTTATTATTTCAATTAGTACGAAGTATTAGGAAGATACTGCCACCTTTATCTCATCTCTGTTTAAAGTTTCCTCTTGTCGCCTCTTATGGCACCCGTGGGATATGTACGGATTCCCTACGGAACCTTTACTCCTACAGAAAAATTGTTAAATGGAAAAGCTCTAACTTTTTTAATTCTTTGTGTCAGAAACAAGGTCCTCAATTAGAGATAAACGTACTAATAGTATACGAAAGTTGAAAGCCTGTGCGTTTTGGATGGTATTCGAACCTTGGTTTTATAATTTAATACGGGTAGACTAACCACAGAGTCGCACTATTTCTGTATTAAGAGAAACTGAGTCGGGGAGAGTACACGCAACTTCAACTTTCATTTGTATACGGCCTTGACATATCCTTGAAACGCAATTTTTCTCAGACATGAATTGTCCTTTCACCTAGCATATGTTGAATCAGCACTAAAATTACTATTGACGATATAAACGGTGTAGGATCATGGTTTGATCATGCATTCCTTGTGATTTTGTATTTAAGCTATTACGCAACCCCTTAGCTATTTAGCCATAAACATTAGAACAGTAAGAATATATCATCGACTTACTATTTCAAATTTAAGCTATTTATATTATCACGTTTTTATTAATTCGATTTAGTGTACTGTCTGTTTGGGTTAAATTTAGTACCTGATTGATTTTAAGTTAATTTACCAACGAGCTAGAAACTTGAAATTTCTAACAAAGCTCGGAATCGGATCCCAATCTAAGAATATGAAAAAGAAATTGCAAATAAAAAAAATACCTTAACAATTATTATTTTTATAGTATTTATTTTTAGCAAACTTCTAATATAGAAGGAGGTTTACTATTCGAATATATGGTTTTAGTATGTGTTACGCAAAATCCTTGTCAAATGTAAACCCATTTTGAAGGTTTTACTTTAAGTTTCAAAATAAAGAATGAAGTTTTTCATGTAACTATATACAAGACATTATGATTGTGATATTGTTTGAACTACTTAAACAGATATTTTTTTAAAGTAAAAGCGACGTCAAAGAACAAAAAATAATAAAACAAAAAATAATCTCACATTCAGAAGTTGATGCTACGATAATATAATGTATAGGAGTATAAAATCCATGACAGAATGTGAGAATATTTTTTTAATTAAAAGTAAAATTGTTACTTTTTATTAAAAGTTAATTAACTTTGCCTACGTGTACGTTTGCCAAGGTGTTGTATTCTGATTTAAAGGGCAAGAAAGGTGAGTTTAGAGTAATTACAAACTGTAAGACATTAAATCATAGTCTTCAAGGGTAGTAATGTACTTCTGGCCTTCTTCGTTGGTAGTAGATTACTCTGGACTACATGTGGCAATCTGAGAGGAGGCCTATATTCAGCAGTGGACTTGTGATGTTAGTGATAGTGATAGTGATGCACAAACCCATCACACGAGCCCAAGGGCTTAAGTAGCCACTAACTAATGAGACTTTAGGTCGCTTACCACTTTATTACATTAAAGAAGCTAATTTATATTATTAATTAAGGAGAATTAAGTCTTAATATGCATAAATGAATTAACAATATTGAACAGTTTTAAATTTGGATTAAGCATCAAAATACTTTAAAGTCTTTTCTACAGTAAAAATACTCATAACAGTACACAAAGGCTCGAATTCACTATCTCTGGCACCAACAGGTTTTCTACCAGCTGGACTGTGAAGTATGATGGACCTTTTAGATAGTTTACACCTGCAACATCTAACATTAATTCTATGATATTTATTAAAACTGTGCTTCCATTTGAATTTTCGATGAATTAATATACATTTTTTAATAAATTACATCGAAAGAGGCCTTATGTAATGCCAGCTGTAATTATGTAAATCGCATATAATTTTCCCACGTTCTTTTTTCTTTAGAATTATTAAAATTACAATCTAGGGTCGGATAGCGTTTCTACACACTAACTGTTGCAGGTTCAAAAGGAAAATCAAGACAATAATTTGTATAAATTATGCAAGTAATCATATCAAAATTATTTCACCGAATTTAGGCTTATTACAAACTTTTTTTAGTAGGACATACATCGACACGACACGACCATAAATCCATCCACCTGCTGGTAAGTAGATGTTTTTGATTGACATTTCATTTATCCTCAGTCAAGAACCATAGTGAAGGTGTTTTTGATTCTTAATTGAGGATAAATGAAGATCTCTGAGGACTAATATGGAATGTCTAGCATAAAGAAAAAGTAATAAAAAAACATAAACTAACACTGGGTTATTTTTCGCGACAAATTTTAGTTCGCACCTATTACTCATAGATATGCTTTGTACTATCAATAATCTGGATTAGTACATTTATTAAAATATTAAAAAAATACACTTATTACTACCAAAAAAATATTTTTGTAAAATTTTTAAATATAAAAATTATTTTGCGTGTTTTTAAACACCTGTTATATTTTGTTTTTGTTTAACATTAAAACTGAATGCTTACCAGGAATTTCATGATGGATGTAATAATATTTTGGTTCACGTAGTTGCGATGTTTCAGTGGTCAGTGGGCGACTGATGTCAGACTCTTGCGCGGCCCACTTTTATACTTCTCGGTGCGAATATCGGCGGCTCCAATTTACTGGTCATTTTTTTCCATTACCAAGGATATCGTATTGGATCACAAGTGCTGTGATTGTGGTGTTAGTGTTAGTACACGTACGATGTATTGTTAGCTCACGGGTAAAGAAATAGTCGACGTATATTTTTTAAACAAGTTGATGACAAACTAGCACACAGTCCACCTGATTTCAAGTGTAATTGAATCAGAAAGCAGATGCGTTTTCACATCTGAACGGAGAACTGACACAAAACGCCTTGTTACAAGTGTCTTTGGTATTCGTCTTGTCACTCAGAAGAAAGGAAACCGAACCATATTGCAGAATTTTAACCTAAATCCGAAGGAGTCCCTGAGGGAAAATTTAAATAATAAAATGTATTAATTTTGGCCTCTCAATGTATTTACAAAAATTGTGTGTATATACACAAAACATAAGTATTTGTTTTTTTAATTTTTTTTATTTATGTTACAAATTTATAATTTTTAAAATTATAAACTTTCCAAATTTTATTTTATTTTATTAAAAATGTTGATGTACATTCGGTGAATTCTGGTAACAAGCACGAGTTGATAATATCAGTTGATTGACTCCAAATATTCGGTATATTCTTCACGAGATAATGTATACGCTTTAACAACAAAGTTCCAAAAATAGAGTAATTAAAAAGTTAAACTTTTTTATTAAGCATAAGTTGTTTAATCTTATATTAATAAAGAATTTCGTGTATTTTTTAAACGTATGATGCTATTAAATATATTCATATTTAATAGTTCAATATGAATATTAAATTGTGTCCCGATGGGTTTTTTGCCGGTTCTTATCAGTGCAAAGGTTTTTGACCAGTGGTAGAATCTTAAATGAATAATAATAAGCATTCGCGTTATATATGAATTTGGGAAGTAAATAATAAGAAATATTAAAGTATATTGAATAAAAAATATTCTTATCTGATCTCACCATATGAAATACGGCGACATTATCAAGCTGATCCATTGGTGCTGGGGCCATATTACGTTGCAGCAAGACTCTACCATGTATAAAATATAATATTGGTTTCTTATATTTTCACGAATATTACATTACACATGAAATAAAATTAATTTTTTGAATTCTATCGCGTTTAATTTTAACTTTTTTAACTCCCGAAGTTTCGGGCAAATTATACCACCCAACGGAGGCTACCTAGACATCGAAAACTTTTTCCAAGGTCATAGTATAAGATATATACGAGTAATAGATAAGCATATTGATAATCGAAATGTAACATTATAGCAAGTCTGGCCACAAATTATATATTGAAACAATTTTGAGAGCGTGATCATTCGTACGCGCAAAACGTCACGGTAGGTTTCTTGCGGGATCTTCCCAGGACAAAAATTTTTCCGAACCAATGGTAAAATTTAAATGATTTTCAATAGGTATATTTGTAACCTATATTGAATAAAATTATTCCATTATATTTTATTCGTCGAGCTCGACTCATTCCTGCCATATAATACAGTAAAAACGTGACTCTACCACGCGGAACATTCCTCTACAGCAAATACTACACTACACTACACCACTGTGCGATTTAAAAGAAGTTTTCTTCTTCGTACGACTACCTTGTGGAATAGACTAACACATGATATTTTTCCGAACCGATACGACTTAGGCACCTTCATCATCTCATCTGCAATTCCCCTGGTGTTGCAGTTGTTCACGGGCGGCGGTAATCACTTATGGTGATGGTAAGTGATTACCGCTATATGCTCGTTTGCCCCCTCTCCTATAAAAAATAGGACACTTCCATTTATTGACTGCTCCGTGGCGCAGCGGCTAAGCAATGAGTTAAGGCACTGAAGGCCGGGACAATTTCTATGCCCTAAAAATAAATTTTCCGGGTCTTGATGTTTGTTTTTATGCAATTTATGTATAGAAACTGCCTCCACGATACAAGAAAAAGTCCCACTGTGAGGGTTACAAAAGGGTTAAAAGGGTTTATAAATTATGAGAAAAATAAAGTAGAGGCAAATCAAGTTGCTCTAGACAGAAATAATCGATTTCATATGCCCTTGAAACGTTTTAATTTGTCAAACACGAAGGTTTCTATGCGGATGTTATATACTCACATGGCAAATTATTCATTATATCATTTCTTTTAATTCATTAATTTATTCAATATCCATAATTTATAGTCATTTGAAATTCGGGGGGATTTTGGTAACTACTACTAGACACGCTTAAGTAACAGGTTAGTACGCTATAGGTTTGCAACCACAGTAGTACAGTTCAATTCTTATCAGGAAGATGCTGCTCATCTACGGTTTTATTTTAAACCTACTTCAACAAAGGAGGTTATTCTTTATTTGACTTGATTTCATGTATGTATGTTACGCGATATCTTCGCTAATTGGGTTCCGATTTTGAAAACTATTACTTTAGTAAATAAGTTATAACTGAAGATGCTTCTATATAAATTTGGAAAAAATATTGCACCCCTGAGGATGGCAATATAGGTGATGAAGTTTTTTAAGTAACTATTTAGGTGAAATTTAGAATGAATACTTAGTCCACTCAAAAAGTAATGAAAAATAACTTTGATAAAAAGTAGAACCTTTTTATGCAGTAAAGCCATACTGCACTTTTATTACTAGTATATTTATAGTACGAATGAGTCAGCTCGATCGGGGAAGGATAACGCTCTCGCAGAATACAAGAGTAAAATAGCAACTCAATGATGCTGTGTGTATGGTGCGTAGAGAACCAGAGACCCTTTTTTACTGGAATCGAGGCGTTCCATCTTAGTCCTCATGGGTGACAACGCATCTTCATTTTGATTCGTAACTGAAGACAGATGTACGTGGGCCACAGCAACCACTTACCATCATTTATACTGTGTGCTCGTTGGTCATTCTATTATAAAAAAAATTACTTCATCGCGAAGCACGCCTTATACCAATACTTAAAATTGCAATTAATCATTTCATTGATCAACGAATTACAACCGGATTGCTCGCATACTGTGAAATAACTGCAAGCGCTTAGCTTTTGAACTATTACGGCTTAAGGAGACGAGGATCCATTTCCTGCCTAGGAGTCTATCGGAGTAGGAATCACTTGCTTATATGTTTGTGCCACAAAACAATATGCACCTATTTCGGTGAAAGGTATTTCTTGCCCTGGTACCCTGATGTTCAACGTGGTAGAACTTCGCTGCAGCTATGTTGTGGTTACAGCACGTTTAGGTTGTCTCGACTAGACCACACTCTTACAGAATACAAGCTCAATGCAGCTGGATTTCGTATGGTGATTGTAGAGAACTGGAGACTCTTTTTTTGATAACTTTATCTTAACTTAATCCATTTTATTTCTTAATCGAGGATAGATGTAGGTTTCTATGAGATAAAGCTGCCATTTACCATCAAGTGGTCTGTGTGTCCGTTTGATACCCTTATTTTATATAAAAAAACAGCTTGCAGAAGGTCATGGACACCTGCAAGCAACCTTAAGCAAACAAGGCTTCGCGTTATTACCTCCGAGGACTAAGACGGAACGTCCCAAAGCCTGTTGTAATACTGCCTTTCTAATGAAATGAAATGTAAATTATTTTTCAACCTAAGAAAGTTAATTTTCTTTGTCAAACTTAATTATATTTTATAATCTACTCCCGTTTCAAGGATACTGATTCGCGGGTATAGACCCTGCCAGAAATATGTATTTCATATGGCCCACAGGTATGGCTCCAGGCTTAGATGTAATTATGAAAAAAGGCCTCCACGATAGAGATAGTTGAAACAAGAGAAAGAGAGAAACGAATTTTTTCAAAATACTTTGAAAGAAAATTAAAAAAAGTAATTTTATATTGTAATAAAAGAAACATTTATTTTTCTTTTATTACAATATAAAATTTATGATTTTTCAGTCTGGATTTTGATTGAAACTTCTGTTGGCACGCTCAAAATCGTAAAGTAGGACTTTATGTTGTAGCAACTTGTTACAGTTAAGTTAACAAAGTTACGCAATAATATCTTAAAACACACCCTCTTTTACTTTAATAAAAAAACATGTTACTTAATTATAATTTATATGTATTACACTATAGGAAAAAGATTTTTAAACCTCTCGTTTAAAAATCTTATATAGATAAGCGTAATGCATTTTTATAACTTAACTGTAATTACTGTAATGAAACGGGTAGTAGCGTTGTAAGAATATCCGCTACCGCATATCATCCTGTGGGTAGTAAGTAATTTTGTGGGCGCCAGAAAAGTAAATTAATTAATTACTTTATTAAAACAAGGCATTGTTAATTTGATTTGGTTATTTCTTTAATTTTAAGATAATTTAGTGATCTTTGTTCATTGATAGCTTGGTGCCGACTGAAAATTACTTAGGTATACTTGCATTAGTTTAAGAACTTAGTTATTAAGGTAAAGGAAAAGTGTTTATTATTTTTTGTTTTTCAGTTTTTTCGGCGGTTTAATTTTTTTTAAAGTTTTTATTTTGTAATTTTTAGTGGCTATAATCCACTAACTACTTCATGCTTTATTTTTGATTACTTTTAAACTACCTACTTTCCTTACTTTACCTATTAACTGCTATATAATCTTACTTTAACTATTATTTGTTTAAAGCTGTAATCGACCTCTGAAAGAAAGTGTTTGCCAAAGGGCTGGCATATGTGGCACTGAGTAGAGTAAAACACTTGAGGGTATTGCTTTATCTGAGCTAGAGCCAAATAAGGCATTACACAAAGCTCACGATGAACGAGCTTTACCAGAAATGCAGAGACTGAGAGGTCTACACAGAAGAGACTAATAGGTCTAAAGCTCATTCATCGTGAGGTTTTTTTGTAATGTAATGTAATAATTATTTACTGTTGTCATACACAACTCAGCATTAAAATCTGTGA